CGTGGTGGTGCACACCTGTAATCCCAGCGCTTGGGAGGCTGAGGCAGGAGGGTTGCTGTGAGTTCGAGACCAGCCTGGGCTACATAGTGAGTTCCAGGTCAGTCTCAACTACATAGTGAAACTCTGTCTCAAAAAACAAGACAAAACAAAGACATATTATGTACATGTACCAACTCCCCACAAGGAATGTAAATATGTACTGAAAACATGTACTAATAAAAAATAGATTAAAAAAATAAAAATATAGGTGAATATATAGCTCAGGATAAAGTTCTTGCCTTGCATGCTCAAGTTCCTAGGTTCAATCCCCAGCACCCAAAAATCAAACATAGGTGCTGGGGATGTGGCTAAGCAGCACAGCGCCTACCTGGCAAGTGTGAGGCTTTGAATTCAATACCTCGTACCAAAAAAACAAAAGCAAAAACAAAATTTTATGTGGCAGGCACTAATCAGACATTTTGCTTATATTTACTATTTAATAGACAAACATTATCTATTCCAAGATGCTTTAGATATTTAATAATATGCCATTTAGTTTTGTTTAAAAATATTCTACATTTTCTGAAGGTTTTGTTTTTGTTTTTGTTTTTTTTTTTGTACTGGAGATCAAACTCTGGACCCTGAACTTGGGAGGCACGTGGCAGAACCACTGAGCTAAATCCTCGGCCCTATTCTACATTTTCTTTTCACCCTCCCATATTATAGATTTGTAGCTGATAGGCTTGTTACAGTGCTCTCTTCATATAATTCATTCTACATATCCTTTCTGTCCATCTTTAAAACATTTCTTTAATTTTTCTAGTAATGTATGGGTTTGCCATTCCAGGAAGCAGTGACATTCAGGGATGTGGCCATAGACTTCTCTCAGCAGGAGTGGGAGTATCTCAGCACTTTTCAGAAGACTTTGTACCAGAATGTGATGATGGAGAACTATGGTAATTTGATTTCACTAGGTATGTTTTCTGCCTCAAATAATTTAGGATAATTTAGAATCTTATCTTTAGGATATGCATTTGTTCTACTCTGATTTTCAAGACTAGCCTCTTAAGAAACTAAATACTTCCCCTTTTCTCAAATAAGAACTCAATTTTCTCAAATTGAACTTTGAACTTTGTTAGTATAAAGATTACAACTCCATTATAAATGTATTCATCTTCCCTTTCAGTTACAGTCATCCTTTCTCTGGTCTCACTTAGAGTTGCCTTTAAATAAGAGCTAAATTAGGATTTTGTGGCATATGTCATACAACCATTGCTAAAGGAGCCAGGTTTCCTATTTATTATGCTCAGAATTAGTGTACCTACTACATTATCTAATCCATTTGCAGGGAAAACAGCTTGACAGAGTGTCCTAGATGGTTGTAATTATTAAAAGAAGCTCTTCAATTTTATATAGTAATGGCCTGAATAAATGGAATTCATTTAAATCTGAAGCAAACACATTTTATTTCCTAAGACATATTTTTCCTGATTTATTGAAAGTTGTAATTTGTGAACATTACATTTATAAAGGTAATGTTGTAAGCACTTTAAATACATCACACACAGAGAGATCAACTGATTTAATTCTTTTAATCCAATAACCCTATTTTTATCCCCATTTTCCGATGAAATACTAAGGCAAAGTGGGTATAAAAGACTTGCCCAAGATTCCACACAGCTAGAAGGTAGCAAAGTCAGGGATTGAAAACAGGCATTAGGGTCTGTATTTCAGTTACATGCTCTCGAGTTATATGTGTGCTCTCAAGAACAAGAGAATACCAGTGTGTAAATTATGTTTGAAAAAACCTTACCCTATATAACTGATTTCTTATTTTTTAATTTCCTCAAAATTTTATTTAACATCATTTTGACCATTAATTTATTACAATTTTAAGCAGACTACTTTTCTATATCATGTGGCATTTTTTTCCTTTGTAAACAGGCCATTCTATTTCTAAGCCAGATGTAATCACATTATTAGAGCAAGGAAAAGAACCCTGGATGGTTGGGAGGGAAGAAACAAGAAAATTGGGTGAAGGTAAGTAAGAGTGAATCTGGCTGTAGAACTACCTGTATAGCAACAGCTCACCTTGTCAAGGAAGAGCCACATACTTGGAATGTTGTTTGGAAGTCTCCATTCATAGTACAAAAAGGCTTATGATCTGGAGCAGAGACAGTACTGTGCATGAGCTAATCAATGTGTTTTATCCTCACCCCTCGTATTTGGGAAGCTTTCAGCCATTATTTCTTCAATTAAGTTCTCTGTCCCTTTCTTTTCTTTCTAGAATATATATATTCATATCTGCTTGATGATATCTGTGAGTCTATTAGATTCTCTTCTTTTTAAAAGGTTTTTTTCTCCTTTTATTTGATTTCAAATTGCCTGTCTTAAAGTTTGCTAATTCTTCTGCCTAATGCAATCTGCTGCTGAATCCTTCTATACATGATCTTAGCCACAAGACTGAGAAGTGATTGTTGAATCCTTCCAGTGAATTTTTAAATTAATTTATTGTTTTTCTTTTCCAGCTCTAAAATTTCTGGTTGGTTCTTGTATTGAAGTTTCTCTTTGTTGATATTCTCATTTTGGTCATGGCATTGTTTTGATAATTTCATTTGATTGTTTATGATCTCCTTTAGATCACTGGAGTTTTTGTTTTGTTTTGCCATGTCAAAGACAGAACCCAGGGTCTTGTACATTATAGGCAATAACTCTACTATTGAGACACATTCCTAACCTTCATTGAGCCCTTTAAGACACTTATTTTAAATTCTTTCTCAGGAAGATCATAGATCTTTGCACATCTGAAGTTTTATTGTGGCCCTTTGGTTGGCCTTGTTTCTCTGTTCCTTTTTATGTCTTTTGATCTTTTGTTTATATTTGAGGTTTTGAAAAAATAACCACCTTTTCTCCCTGCCTTTAAGGACTAGCTTTTATGCAAGGGAAAATCTTCATTGGTCAACCTAGCTAGGTGTTCTGGGAAAATTCAGACTTTGAAAATGCATTTTCTTTTGTACTGTACATATACCCTTTTATAGTATATATAGCTGCTTTTGGCTGCTTTAGATTATATTTTTTTCTTAGAAGCTTTTGCTTTCTATTGTATTGCTCTGCCTAATCTCTTTCTCCCCATGGAACATCCATGTGGAAGTGCAGATTCTTTGCCATTCTAATATGGAACAGTGCTTACCACTTTTCTATGACTTTCAACCTGGCATTCGAGCTATCATGTTATTCCTGTCAGTTGCCTTAAGCCAAGTGAGGCAGAAACAAGTCCCCATGGTAGCTCCCGGTGAAGTCAGGTAAAGAGCCAGGAATTAGGAGGCAGTATTCTCCAGAATGCACCACATTACGTTAGACTTAGAAGAGAGCAGGGCAAGAAAACTCTAATAACCTCTTACCATTCTTAGCTATGTCTTCTTTTGTTTATGTACTCAACATTGTGCTGTGGCTCAACTAATTTATAGCATTCTCATAAAGATACCTGGGTTTATTATTTCTGTAATTCAGTATCTCTGGTGGGGAAACTGAGAGTTGGATCTTTTTATTCCACTATTTTCCAAACAGTTTGCACTTTGTTTTAGTTCTCATTCCCCTTTCCTACTTTATATTGGAACATTTGAAATTTTTATTATTCATTTTAATTTACCTTTTGTAATGTATCTCTTTAAATTTCTTTTAGTAGGTATTGTTAAACATCCAAATATCTAACCTTTCATAATCTACCTAGAGTTAATATTGTATTGTGTTTTTAAGATGAAGAAACCGTGCATCCTTTTTTGTAGTACAGGGGATTGAACGCAGGGACTTGTGCATGCTAGGAAAGTGCTCTACCACCTAGCTATATACCCAGACTACCATGCTTCCTTAATACCCTTTATACCTATCTTTCCTTTTGCAATTATCATGTACATTACATCTACATACATTTTTTTTGTTTTTGAGACAGGGTCTCACTATGTACTTGAGACTGACCTGGAACTCAGTACTAGCCCAGGCTGGCCTCGAACTCACAGCAATCCTCCTGCCTCAGCCTCCCGAGTGCTGGGATTACAGGCATGTGCCATCACACCTGGCTACATCTACATACATTGTAAACACCACTAGACAATATAACAAGTTTTGCTTTTTAATAGTCATACTTAGCTCAGAGAATTTAAGAGTGAAATAAATGTTCTTATTCATGTAAATATTTCTCTGTTTTGATATTTTTTTATTCCTGAAGTAATTTGGAATAATTTCTTTAGTATCATTTCCATTAGTCTAAATAACTTGCTTTTAATTTATTTGTTTATATTAAGTATTAAAGCCAGGCGTGGTGGTTCATGCCTATAATCCTAGCACTTGGGAGGCTGAGGCAGGAGAATCGCTGTGAGTTCAAGACCAGCCTGGTCTACATAATGGGTTCCAGGTCAGTCTCAACTACATAGTGAGACACTGTCTCAAAAAACCTAAAAGAAAAATTATATTAAGTATTAAAACTAATAGAGGAAAGACTAGTTTTTTGTTTTGTTTTGTTTTTTGAGACAAGGTATCACTATGTAGTTGAGACTGACCTGGAACTCACTATGTAGCCCAGGCTGGTGTCGAACTCAACAGTAATTCTCCTGCCTCAGCCTCCCAAGTGCTGGGATTACAGGTGTGTGCCACCACGCCCAGCTTAAGAAAGACTACTTTTAATCACTGTAGCTAAGTGTGGTAAATGAAAATTATAGCAACATTGTCAATAACAGTTCCAAATTGCTTTGTTGATTTTAGTGTTCTTTTAAGTATTCATCTCTAATTGACAAATTTAGCATTTAAATCTATAAAATATTTATTTTTTGATAACCAGAAAAACAAAATTGTTTTATTTCTTTTAGATTTGGAGTCAAGGTATGAAAAAGTCAGCTATGGAAAAGTGCACATTTTTAGAAAACATTCATCTGTTACTCTACATCAAAGAATTAACCACAGAGAGAAATCCTTTGAATGTGACAGATGTGGGAAGGCCTTTACTCGTCACACAGACCTTATAGTACATCAGAGAATTCATACTGGTGAGAAACCCTATGAATGTAAACAATGTGGAAAAGCCTTTAATCGTGCATCCAACCTGCTACAGCATCAGAAAATTCACACTGGTGAAAAACCTTATAAATGTGAGGAATGTGGGATGACCTTTAGTCGTAATATAGATCTTAGAGTTCATCAGAGAATTCATACTGGTGAGAAACCCTATCAATGTAAAGAGTGTGGAAAGGCCTTTAGTCGTGCCTCATACCTAACTCAACATAGAAAAGTTCATACTGGTGAGAAATCCTATGTATGCCATGAATGTGGGAAGGCCTTTAGTAAAGGTGGAAAACTTAAAATACATCAAAGAATTCATACTGGTGAGAAACCCTATGAATGTAAGGCATGTGGAAAGACCTTTAGTCAGGCCTCTCACCTTGTGCAGCATGACAGAATTCATACTGGTGAAAAACCCTATGAATGCCATGAATGTGGAATGACCTTTAGTCGTGGAATAGATCTTAGAGTACATCATAGAATTCATACGGGTGAGAAACCTTGTAAATGTAAAGAATGTGGGAAAGCCTTTAGTTGTACCTCAAATCTTGTTCAACATGAGAGAATTCATACTGGCAAGAAGCCTTATGAGTGTGAAGAATGTGGAATGACTTTTAGTCGTATTTATCAACTCATTCCTCATCAGAGAATGCACACTGGTGTGAAACCCTTTGAATGTAAAGAATGTGGGAAGGCCTTCAGTCGTGCCTCAGCACTTATTCAACATGAGAGAATGCATACTGGTGAGAAGCCCTATAAATGTAAAGAATGTGGAAAGGCCTTTATTCATGGTGGTAGCCTTAAGATACACCAGAAAATTCACACTGGTGAAAAACCCTATATGTGTAAAGAATGTGGGAAGGCCTTTGGTCGTACCTCAGATCTTGTTAGGCATGAAAGAATCCATACTGGTGAAAAACCCTATAAATGTCAGGAATGTTGGAGGGCCTTTGGTCATATTGAAAGCCTTCGAATGCATCACAGACTTCATACTGGTGAGAAACCCTATGAATGTAAGGAATGTGGAAAGGCTTTTAAGAGTAGCCATCAACTTACTGTACATAAAAGAATCCACACTGGTGAAAAACCCTATGAATGTAAGGAATGTGGGAAGACCTTTAGTGTATATACACGACTTACTCGACATCAGAGTATTCACAGTGGTGAGAAGCCTTTTCAGTGTAACAAATGTGGGAAATTCTTTAGGCTTAATTCAAGTCTTAAAGTACATCAAAGAATTCATACTAGGGAAAAACTTTACCAATGAAAAAGATTTGGAAAGTTCCACATATAATAGGTAATATACAGCTCATTGATGTATTTATAACATTGGTAAAGAATTTGAATGTGATGCTTTTAAATATGGTTCAGTTCTTATAAGACATTAGTTTACATTGTAAAAACTCCACAGATTATACATTATATTTAGAGTTGTTATGATTCAAATATTCATATTCAGATATTTCTAATGTATTTTTATGTAATGTAAGAAAACCTTCATTCTTTTTGATCATTGATTATCAGTATATTCACATTTGAGGAAGATTCAGAGAATGTAGGGATGTCTTTGTTTTTTATATTTTTATTTATGAAAGCTTTCTGGGCCTGTTAATTATATTGAATGTGAGCAAATTCATACGACTGAAAATTCCTATTGACTTAACAAATACAGAAAAATAATGTGCTTGCCATTCTATGTTTAGCATGTATATGACATTAGGCAAGATAGTTATCCTTCTGGGAGTTTTTCTGCAAATGATGATAACTTTACCTACATTATAGTGCTGATACAGAAATGTGGAAAATTTGGAACCCTTTCTCACATGTCATTTCTATTCAATAAGTGTTATATTGCTATTAACAAATTATGAGTCTATAATTTTAGAAAAGCTTCTTGTAATTGCTTATATTTTTGAATTTTAAATTATTTCTGATTAAAAATCTAGTAGACTGTAAAAAATAAGAGGATTTAAAATATGTTGTGGGGGGTTTTATTTTGTTTGTTTGTTTGCTTTTTTAATGGTATTGAAGATTGAAACCAGTTGCACTGAGCTTACATCTCCAGCCCCTTTTAAGTTATTTCATTTTATATCTTAATTTTTGTTTTGCTGGGGATTTAAAATTTAAAAATTTAAAATCCCAAATCTGAAACATTTCTGCTTATAAGCATTCAGGAAAAGGCTATATTATTGATGCTATATGTTATGGCTTGGTTATAAAAGTAACTATTTGATTTCTCCATTATCGAGACCTACTTTACACTTATTAATTTGAACAGCAATATTTTGCAATTCCTTTTTTAAGTTGATCTGATGTATATATTTTAAATTGAATAGAAATTAATGTAGAATTTAGGGCCTATTCAGAAAAATGTCTTATGAGATACAATAAAAAATATGGTGAATATTTTTAAATGTTTTTAAAAATTTATTGTGGTAAAAGACATTGCTATTAACCACTTCTAACACACTTATTCCATTGTTCTTGTGACTGTCTGTAGTAGTTATAGAGCTGCTTATTTGTAAGTTCCTTAGTTATGCTATCATGGTTGCCTTGATATCTTGAAACGATTTAGAACATTTAACTTTCATGATCATTTTGTCTTTGGGAAAGAGCCAGATCTCGTGAATTAAGGTGAATAAGGACACAATGTAATTTTTTGTTTGTTTGTTTTTTGAGACGGCTTTCATTGTGTAGTTCAGGCTGGCCTAGAACTTAGTATGTACCCCAGGCTGACCACAAATTTGTGGTGATCCTCCTACCTCAGCCCCTTGACTACTGGGATTATAGGCATGCATTACCCCTCCCAAACAGACTTTCTTTCTTTCTTTCTTTTTTTTTTTTGTACAGGGGATCAAACTCAGGACATTGTACTTGCCAAGCACTGAGCTAAATCCCTGGCCCAGACTAATTTTTGTATGTAACAGAAATTGCTGTAAATGCTTTGAATTGATTCAGGACATCGACATACCACAAAAAGACAGTCAAAAAAAGAAACTTCCAAAACTGCTTCAAAAAGTGGCAAGAATGAATGATGGAATAAGTGTGTTCAAAGCAAGAGACAGTAATTTTGGCGGGGAGGTATTTCAATGTGTCTTTTCCTATAATAATTTTTTAAATTTTAATTTAAATATTCATCATAATTTTTTATCATACCACATATATCAGAGCTTTGGAATATTGGCAGTCCTCTATTCATGGGCAAGTTAATACTGTTTACAAGATTATTTTCTGTGACAGTCGGTGAATACATCTAGAAGTTTAGTGACTTAGAACTAAAATATCTTTAAAGCTTTAAGGGCCTCACTGTTTAGTTCAGGCTGGCCTTGAACTCACTAAGTGTAGGCTGGCCTCAAACTCCCCTGCCTAAGCCTCCTAAGCACTGGGATTACACGTGGGTGCCACCATGTTTGGCTAATGCTTTATATTTTTCTGCTAAAGTATATTAATTTCAAATAAACATTGGTGAGGGCCAGGGATTTAGATCAGTGGCTCCAGGCCTGTCTCACAAAGTAAAGGTCCCGAGTTTGATCCCCACCCCAAAAAAATAAAACAAAAAAATAAAACAAGTAGATACTGGTAAGTCTGGTCTAAGCATAGAAAGTTGAAGTACATTATCTACCAACTGTAAATAAAGATCTATCAAAAGAGCTGTGAAACTTAAAAGTACTAATCTAGAGTATTCAGGATGTAAGTCTTCTAACATAGTTGTAAATCTTGATACATGACAAAATCATTAATCTACCTTTGATACAAGATCAGCATCTATGGCATATAAGCACATTTTAGAAATAAAATTTTATTGAAACAGCTATATTCATTTACCTGTTATCTCACTTAAAGAGTAGAGTATTTGTTTAAAAAAAAAAGAGTAGAGTATTTCTAACAGACAATGACAATATATGACCCACAAACCAAATTATTTACTTTTTGGGCCTTTAAGAAAAGTTTTTTTGTTGTTGTTGTTAGATTTATCAGGGCTCGTGTGTATATGTCCATGTGATTTTTTTGTTTTTTGAAACAGGGTCTTGCTATGTAGTTCTGGCTGGCCTTGAACTTGCTATATAGCCCAGGCTGGCCCTGAACACACGAATACTGGAATTACAGGTGTGTGCCAGCACACCCAGCTAGATTTATTAATTTATTTTCCATTAAGTTTATTGGTACATTTTAGGTATACAATATGATGACATTCATCGCTGGGAATTTGTGCCTTTACATGATGTATCTTGGTTCTTAGTTTTTTCCCATTCCCCTGCCCTCTCTTCAACCCTTCCACCCTTCCCTATTTACAAAGACTTTGTTTCCATTTTTTCCTTTCCTCATATTTTTTCCTTTCCCCTACTCCTCCCACTTCCTCCTCCCCTGTAGACCTTTTCTTTCTGTTTCACATTATCTTTTATACATTTTGATTCTTATTTATATTTTCAGTTTCTCACACCAGAGAAACTATTAGGTATTTACATATGTGTGTCCTATTTATTTCACTTAAAGAGTATGCCCCAATGTGCATCCATTTAGCTATAAATGACTCGTTTCTCATTCTTTGTGGTTGAGCAGTACTCCATTTTATAAAAAAACACATCTTTATCAAGTCTCCAGTTGATGGAAAGTTGGGCAATTTCCAGGTTTTAGCTATTACAAACTGTGCTGCTATAAACATGGGTGAGCATATATTGCTGTGGTATCATTCCCTTAAATCTTTTGGTAAAATACCCAGCATGGGAATAGCTGGGTCAAGTGGGACCTCTAATCCTAATTTTTTGAGGTATCTCCATACAGATCACCACAGTGGTTGCACCAGTCTGCCCTGCCTCCAACAATGGAGAAGGGTTCCTTTTTCCCCCACAACCCCACCAGCATTTGTTACTGATTGATTTTTTGATAGCAGCCATTCTTTCTAGAGTGAGATGGAATCTCTGTTTTTTCATCTGCATCTTTCAAATGACCAGTGATGTTGAACATTTTTTCATATGTTTATTTGCTGCTTTTACTTGTTTGTCTGAAAAATGTCTGTTCATTTCAGATGCCCATTTTTTGAATTGGGTCTTTAAATCTGGGGAGGGTCTGATTTTTTTTTTTAGATAAGTATTTTCATTTAATTTTTGAATCTCAAAACAGCAATAGACCTTGGCCTTGTTTTAAAATAGTTTAGTTAAACACTAAGCTAGCTAAATAACCTTACAGAAAGGTTTAAACACAATTGATGTAGAAAATACTTTCCCTCTAATCTCAATCTTACATAAGTGGAAGAGGTGAAGAGGAAAAGGTAGACAATTTCTTTAGTAGCAAATGTGGCTAAGTCTACAACCACCTTAATCTACAATGTCTATTACTAACTCCACTAAAAGGAATTGGGCTAATATTAAAAGTTCCCCATTTCATAAGCCAAAACACAACAATTTTAGGGTTATACTAAATAAAATATTTTTGTAATACTTCAAAATTTTTAACCATAAGCTAGAGGAATTAGCTCTTCATTGTAACAAAGAAAGGAATAACAGAAAGTCAAAGACATTTAAACTAAACTCGTTTTTTTCAATCCTCTTTAAACAAAAGTAAAGAAAATCATGGTTGATTAGCTAACTTTTATACTCTACCCAAACTGAAGGGGCTCAAGATTGGACTTAGAGAACAAGGATTTAAATGCAGGTACTACAAATATGTTCAAAGATCTAAAGGAAACCTGCTGAACAGTTAAAGCAATAGATCACATAGTAGCACATACCTATAATCCTAACTACTTAAGAGGCTGAGGGAGGAAGACTGCAAGTTAAAGGCCAGCCTAGACAACTTAGACTGAAAGTTTAAAAATTAAACACTGAGGATGTAGCTCAATACAAAGTGCCCTGGTTTCAATCCACAGTACTGGAAAGGAGGAAGGGAGGAAGAGAGGATGATAATAAGAAAACAAGAGATATCAGGAAAGAGACAAATTATGAGAAGCTGGAAATTCTGGAGGTAAAAACTAAAATCAAATTGAAATTATTACTAGAGTGGCCCAGTAGATTTGCATTCTCCAAAGTCTCAATGAACAAAAAGACAAATCCAGAAAGATTATCCAAATTGAAGAACAGAATGAGAAATTAACAGGGTATTATAAATCTATGGTGCACTGATATGGGCTGAATCATGTTCTCCAAAAATTATTATCTTGAAATCTTAACCCCTAGTACCCCAGAATGTCACTATATTTAGAGATGGACAGTTGTTAAAGAGGTGTTAAGATTGGATTGTTTAAAGTGGGCCCCACTCCAAATATGATGATGAGTTCATAAGAAGAGGAAAGTTGGACAAAGATGTTATGATTTTAATAAGATATATTATGATATATATTAAGACATATATAAATACACTTTCAACCCTATTTTCTGGAACAGAGTGCCTAAAAATTTTGGACTCTATAGAATAACATATCTTTTATATGCCAATGAGTTGACG